GATCTAGCAGGTGGAGAAGTTGAGGGATATGAGTCCGCTTTATGAAATGGTCAAGGAAGGCATCAATATCAAGGATATTCAATGGGCACAACACTGATTATGTTTGTCAATGCAGGTGATGGATGGATGGGGGCAGCACTGCCCAATTGCGATCAGACTCCAAACATAGCTGCCACTTTTGCATTGCAATTGCCCTTTATAAAAACTTGCTGACTATTTAGTTATATGTATTCTTGAGGTTACATTATAATTAAAAATTCAGTTGCCCTGGTAGACTAGAGCTATTAGGTATACACCATTTGTTTGTTTTAATTGTTGTTAGTTTTGCCTGTCACCGGTGTTTATGAAGAGACAAGACATGTATTGGTACTGTAAGGACTAAGGACTAACCAATATTGGCTTTATTATGATTTCAGATGAACACCTCCCACATTTCCTAGTTTTCCCCTTCCTCAGCTTAAGGAATAGAAGTTTCAAGCTTTGCTCTATCTCTTTTTACTCGGATCGGGGTGAGGGGGAGCTGGCAAAGGTACTGTGGTTTTGTCTTGTTTTCTTGGTCGTTTGTACTATGGGTATTGAACTCGTTCAGTATTGAGATAAAGGCCTCTTTCACGATGTCTGGCTCTGCTTTGGCCATTGCTGCTCATTTGTTAGTAAACATATTAAAAAGGAATAAACCCTTTTCTTTGTGACTTATCTTTATTATTCTCTAAACCCTTCCCTGTCTGTTCTTTATTTTCAACTTTCCCTCCTTTTTCTTTACCTTAATCTCGTTTAGTTGTAATTTTATAGAATTCCATTTTTCATAAAAAAAATGCTAGCAATACATTCTCTTATCATACACTCTTTTGCAATTACTATGTGTGTTATTATTAGTTAAGATTTATTAAAAGTTACACATTCTGATCGGTGTTACCTTTTGTTTAAGGACTCTCTTTTCTGATTTGTTGTTCTGAATACTACATTTTAATCAATAATAGAATATGTATCCAAAGGAATGAACTAGAGAGAGATATTACTACTACTACTATCATTTTTTTGTTTAAGCCAGGATATCCTGGCTGCAAGTTAAGGAAGGAATTAATCCTTTGATGTACTGAGATTTATTTAAAAGGTTTACCTCTCAACAAATGTTTTTCTATATACATGAATCTGACATCGAATCCATGATCATATATTTAAGAAATAAGTTCCGTACCAATTATGTCATACTTTATTGGTTACTACTGCTCCTCTTGTTCATCTAAATTATTTTCATAAAATTCTCAGTACTTGTGTGGGCTACTAGGTAAGGTGTGATTTCGTTCTTTTTATCTGAAAGCAACATAATAATTAGCAGTCAAGTACTAATAAATATTATTTTGCTTTCCGGGAAGTATTCTTCGGAATCATTGTCAGTTTTATAACTTGCTTGAGGTCAATTTGTTTATTGTCCTTATTTCGGCTTCGATATTACTTTTTTGTTTCTCGCTTCCCTTTCCCAGTTTCCCCCACACACAAGTCGCAAGGTGTTCACTCCTTTCTGATAATTTACGTGCCTCATCTCAATACATGCTTGTTGATCTGATTACACTTCCAATGTTGCTCCTTCAATTGGCTCTTCAACTTTTGCTGATTGCCCTTCAACCCTTCTAAGTTTCAACACACGGTATAAGATTAATCACTGCGCTCCAAAGCCCCTAAGGGTGACCTAATGATGCACAAGGCTTTCACCGCTATAGGGTGGAGAGTCAAATGTACAGGACCTTACTCAATCTGTAGAAAATGTTTTGAGACTAGAACCTGTGCCTAACGAGAGGGTATTGAAATTGGGCGAGTGTGGTGAAACCAGAGAGGGGGAGGCAGTGAAAAATTGCGAAGAAATGAGTGAGAATTGACTTTTGAGAAGAGGAAATAAAATAAGGTTATTTAGGTAAATTTAAATTTAAATATGTGAGTATGTTTATTTATTTATTTATATTGATAGAAAGGGAGTATGTTTAATAAAAAAGATTAAATGAGGAGTTTCCCTCTGCTTTCGTTCCGGGTCCGAGGTATCAAGCTTTGCATTGGATTTATCTTCGTTTCGGCCTGTAAGGGTTATGTTATGGCCCCATTCCACTTGGACCTAAACTTTTACCTATCGCAATTGAACCCAATGTTACTTGCGCATATAAGGAACAAAGCTTCTAGATTATTTTCTACAGCAGGCTTTGGGGTTCGTAGCCCAACATTATATAGAGTTCATTCTTTGCGGAAGTAGATTTATATTGGGCCTTACGGATGTGAGCACTTGATGCTCGTTTCGACGTGCACACTTTATTCAGCACGACATGTTCTTCACCATAGCAGCTTAGTTTTACGTGGCATTTTGTCTCTTACTGTGAATAATCCTTTTCTTTGTGTGATTGTTTTTCTGGTTATTTATATGTGATTATGATGTGTGATATTTTTGCCTTCACCTTAACACGTGAAGTATTGAAAACGATTATCCCGGCTGAGCAAGTGTCTGCTAAGATTTAAAAAGATCTTGTTGGGGATTTTAAACAAACGAAAAAGAAGTGTAAATTTATTGAGTGTTAACTGTTTTACGTACATGAATAATAGATGGATGTTGAAAATGCAGATAGGTTAATGGGAAAAAAGATGTGGTGAAAATATGCTGACAAAGGCGTTATAGAATAGAATAATGTGGGTGCGTGCTTTATCACATAACATACTAGTGGCCCATCAGCATCAGATGGGAACTAGAGTATGACTGGTGTGTGGTTGAGCGTAGTACAATTTGTCCACGCCACAGGGATGGGCCAACTTCAAAACTGTGTTGCTGATATATACAGCACAAAAAACTTGAGAGGAAAAGGTGTGTATGGGAATTGGAATCACATTTCCTTTTCTCCCGTGGTCCCCAACCTTTTCAGTTGCGCCTGTCTTCACCTTTGCACCAACATTCTCTTTTATCTTTTCCACTTTTTTATTGCATGTTCATCCACCTCCTTGCTTAATTCCACTTCTCCCTCACGTGACTGCTGCCACCCTTTGTACTCCTATTTCAATCTAAACTATTCACCACAAATCTTGCTTATCCCTTCATGTTTCCAACTCACAAAATTTAACAGAAAAGCTTGTTTCCATCTGCTTTCACTTTTAACGTAAAGCTTCTGTTCTTTCTGTACTCAGTTTCCTCCGCCTCAACATTTTATAACACCTCTTTCAATTACTAGTTTACAATATCTATCTCGGGATACAACTTCATACTCATTTTATCGTTACGTAGAAATAATAGCGATAGTTTTTAATCGGAAGATGTGAGTGGCTTGGGATTGGGATGAATACAGTAGGATAAAAAATTATAAGGGACACTGTTTTGTTCATTTCTCTACATGCAATGAATGTAATAATTCACAAGAATTGTCATGTTTTGTACCAAAATTTAGTAGCATAAGTAAATTTTCATTCAACCACTGAACGAGAGATACACGAGTTGGCTAGAAACACACAGGAAAGAAAATAAAAGTTAGTACCATTTTTTTTATAGAAAAAGTTAATGCCATTTCATTTCTAACTACTGGTGCGGATAAAATTCGTACTAAATAATTTCTGTTTATAAAATTAGCTTCTTTCATGTTGGGCGTCTCTGTTGGGAAATGGCATCATAATTTCCCTTCTCTGTTAACTATGGCAGATATGGTGGACACCGCTATATAACGGGAAATAAAGGATAGTGAATGGCAGAGGGGTTCAAAAATGCCACGTTATACCTTTATGGCGGTACCATAAATGTTATTTGATAACATTGATAAAGGTTAAACTAGTGTTATTCTATTGTTGTGAATTGTGATCTTCAGTTTTAACTGCAGACATGCAAAATGCTGCTCTAACAGTTTAACATTGACTAA